GTGACATCTCTTTCGTTTGGCCCAAATGGGTTCGCATAAAACCGCCTCCGTCGGTTTAATCCCGTCCGGCCAAAACAATTAAAACAAACGTACCGTATCGGTTTATTGTTACTGTTATTGGCGCGTTCCATACTATCTTGCTACACGGTACATATATACATACACTGGCCACGGTATAATATTATAGTATTACACCGTTGGCCGTTGCCAAAAGGCGGGATTTCGATTAAACGCCGTAAATCGCGATTAACACCGTCGGGGCCAGTCTAGTTTTACGATCACAGTATAAATTAAACCGACGTCGATTGTTCAATGCGCACAAACAAATAACAGAAAATATTTGACTACTTAAACCGTAAAGTAAACAAAAACGACTCTGAACGACAGCAGCAGTTATTATGACTGCATACACAAACGGCTTGACCACGACAGAGTGAATACATGTGTATTGTATTAAAATTCGAATTTCATACAAGACGTTCAGATACTGCGGATCCAGAGAGCAAACCAAACAGTTCCGAGGATGAGTAATATCATGTTTGCTTAGAGGAAATCAACACTTCTGCCCTGTGCTGTGTTTTGTCCCAGCTGAACTGTTGTTTTGCGAGGAGCGTCGAATTGTCACAATCCACATTTCTGTTGTCTGGTAGAACTGTGCGTGTATCGAACGAAAACAATATGAATTTATATCTTTTCCAATCGTGTAGATTGAATGTCAATAATGTAAAATATCGTTGGATTTGCATACGTTATCCAAAAACAATTATTTCGCCTCACTCTTAATGGGAACATCCGCTCACGCCATATTCTCGACAATTTCCATACATATATCACATTATGAAATTTACATACATAGTACCTACACGCTGTGTAACCCTCTGGACTCTCTTAATTGACAGCAATATACGTGTATTATTCAAATGGAAAATCCACGCCGAACGATTTTAAAAAACATATATACAGGTACAGTGCACAGACACAATATGTGCCTTTGTCTATATTCAGGTACGGTATACCTATAATAAAAAAATGATGTCTACCGATATTGTTAAATTAATTTATAATTTGCACTCGAATCCGTTTGCTTATACAATAAATACCCGTTCGAAATTGGAAAAAATGGTTTTGTGCACGAATAAATTGAATAACCATACTCGCCAAAATGATTCCAGAGTTTTGATTTTCCCTGTCGAATACCGCGTCCAAGCATACCCTCCTCCCCCTGTTTTATTCATTTCCTTATTTTTCTCCGGTGCGATTTTTCAATATGGCAAATCAGGTCGTAATGGTTAACGGACCGATCGTGCAAGACCGGATCCGGAATTCGCGGGAAAAAAAAATAATAATAAATAAATAACGAGGTGTACACCATTATCGCGGCGGGGGTGGTCAATTTCGGGTTGGGTATTGTATATTATGGAAAAGTGCGCGACCACCGAAACGTGAAGTTCACAACCTTTTGTGCGAATGGGGTAAGGCGACTTCCTGAAGTAAAAAATAAACTATAATATTGTCGTCCGGCGTAGATTATAGCCCCGACCAAGAATGAGAGACGGATAGATTATAATATAGGACCTATGCAGCTTGGAACGACTACTAGGATTGGCCACAAAGAAATACAACTAAGACGTTGTATAATCAACGGTATGTAAACAAGTTTAATGAAAAGACTGACAACAAGTCACGATCGACGATCATTGATCGTTATTGGCAAGTCGCGTGTCCTAATAAAATGTGTCGACCTACACAACACACTGTCAGTCACGAGCTATACAATAACCTCCCTCGGGGTTCGAACATCTTTTCCCAGAGAACGTTCTATAATAATTATTGTTACACTAATGGTACACCGCCGGTCTTTTGAAATTCGAATATCAAACTACACTTTTACCACTGCTGAACTATAGTGATTTTATGGCAACGATTAGTACAGGACCGTTTTTATATCTGTATATTTAAAAATCAATGGACCAACTAACGATTAATTATCTAAAACGTATTAGGGATATACACTGGTCCGGAAAAATAATATTTTATATCTTGCATAATAAGTGTTCTAAGCTAACAATTTATATAAATAGTCATTGATAACATAGTTTACACACAAATACAATGCCAAAACAAGTTCATAAGCCCGTAAAGCGGTTCCTTAGCAATTACAATATTAGAATACAATGCTAGAATATTGGTTTTGAGTTTAGTTATTTTTATACAGGTGTTGGTTAACTGGAGACTCGATAAAAAACGGTTAGGTCGACATAAAAAAAAACTGCTGAGACCCATAAAAGTTGAAATGGATCTTAAAGCTAAGGAAAATATTATATTAAATTCCTTTTTTGCGTCTATACAGTACAGGCTATACTTGAGAGTTGAGGGTCATAAAAAACACAATAAGAGATAACTTTATAAATACAACCATATTTTTTTATTACCCATATAAATGTCTACATATTATGCGACCATCGGGATAAACTCAATACGATTCTGATTTGTTATTTGCTTGCAAATCTCCAATTTGACGACAACTGAATAATATAAAAGACACTGTGTATGTACCTAACATAAACAATTAGATCCGTTTGAATTGGACAGACTAGTTCAATTTAAATGTCTAGGTACAAGAAACAGAAGTCTACACATTAGAACACCATAGTAAACATTTTTAGAAAAATCTACTCAAGGCTCGGACAGGTCATTTTGCATGCTACAGCAATGTAATTATTTCATCTTAGTTCCTACACATAATGTGCTTACACCGAGGGGAAGTGTGCAGACTGTGTAGGTATACAATACAATATAGGTTAAGCCGGGTTCTTATACAATCTTAGGGCCGAGGATACAAGTTCTCTTATCCGAGTAGATAGGTGCACATGGGCTGCAAAATCGAATTAACATTGCCGGTCTGTTTAATGGTCTTGTCACGGCGGAAGACAATACGGAAACGGACGGCCGACACACAAATGCCACGTGTATCCGCACAGATAAGAGCAAACCCTTTACCTAACCGGAAAAGACACTGCGAATTATGCAAATGCTATGCCAATATATATACATGCAGGCCGTGTATTGAGATTCGGCGGTAGGTTGATATAATCCTGTTTTAAACCGGGGAGCTCCCGGATAAGGAGGAAGCCGGGACTTTTTGCACAGTTTAAAAATCTTTCCCCCCAAACATCGTTTACTCTTCGCCTGTTCGACGTTAACTTTTTCACAAGACGGTTTGTATCTTTTTCGTTTGGATTACAATGTTTTCCAACCCTTTCGAATTATTATTTCGATATCATAATAAGGCTGCCGCCCGGGTATTAAATTAGGATTAACTTGTCAGAGGTACGGCAAGACTAGCGCCTCTTCCTTGCTTTCTTTCCGGGGACTTAAGCCGGACGAAAAACTTTCTCGAGGATTTATTTACAGATTTTTGTTGGTATAAATACATTGTAAACAAGACACGTTGTGTAGTTTTTCCTTAGATCTGTCCCCTGGGTCCGGACATTAAAAATATTATGCCATCATAATAATATCTTAAGTAATATTAAAATATTATGCCAAACAGTTTCATCAACGCACACCGCACCAGTAAAATTTTACCTACCTACAGTCTCTACCCTTAATGGGACGTAATGCCCTTATTTATTGAGGAGTTGGGTATAGGCGATTTTTTGCAAAAAGCTTAAAGTTTAAATTGTGTTTGGCAGTTGGTGAGAAGTGAGAACTGATCCAACAGTTAAGTATGGCGACAGTATTTTATAAATTCTTATTCAATATTATTATACTAGATATATGAAACAAATTGACAGTACTTATTCCTATTATAAATACATTTTGTAGTTACAACAAATCAAATTGTTTTATTCGGTTTTCGCATTTGAGGTACTACCTACATTTTTTTTTTATATATATTTAGACAAGCATATTATTTCAAATTAAAAAAAAAATATATATATATATATATTAAGTAGCTTCTATGCAAGTCGCTATTATTGTTTAAATTAAATAATACAAAAATGTATACCAAAAAAAAAAAAAAATACACATTTGACATTTCCATCTGTAAGATGAGATAGTCCAAAACAGTATTGGCTCAAGGTATTATGTTTATACGTATTATAAACCATAGACCTAAGCTATCATAACCATATAATTCTGTGCCCTAATATTAGGTATAATTCTTTAACATATTTTAAACATTTAAGAACTGAAAACCTTGTCAGTTTTATAAAATAGTACCTAGCATTCAGTAATATATTTTTTTTTTTTAAATAAAAACTCATAAAACCTAATAGCTCATAAGTGCCTTTTCAACCAAAAAGAGGTAAATTAATTCTCCCTTCTTAAATTTTAAGATATAACCTTGTTAAATAGAATACTTAAGACATAATGTAATAGGTATGGTTATGTATTCAATAATCAAATACAAGTAAAACATAAAAAATTGCAAGTCGTCATTGCATTTTTAAAAAATGAAAGATATGATAAAAAAATAAAAAATTTTAAAGCTTGTACTTAAAAAATTACAATTATATTGCACAAATTCATATAATATAATGGTAAATTATCAGAACTTGATTTAAAAGTCTTTTTTTTATATATTTCGTTTAATTTAAAAACCAAACAATTTTTTACTAGACTTTTATAATTTTTTCCAGTACATTTTTTAATATTTAAAAACTATTTTATCAGAACTGAGTTTTATATCATAATTTAGACACAAGAAATTAGTTCAAATTGCGAATTCACAAATCACATTAATGCACAGACGATTGTTAACAAATTAGGTGTAGTTGTTAGTTAATTAATTATTATCTTTTCAAATTTTACCACTTTTATGTTCTCTACAAATAATCTTAGTAGATTTAACTTGTATCTTATTTTACTTTACAAACTGTAAAGAAATATTTAGTCCTGAGAATTTAAGATCTTATCATGATATATGAATTAATGTTTTGAACTTTTAATCAAATTACTAAAGCTATACTATCTATAACATAAAAAACAAGATATTTCAGTTTTATGGGTGTTTTATTAAAACGTCAAATATATTGTACATGACATTATCCATTCGAATAGTTTTAGTACATGGTAATGGGGAAGAAACAGCTTACAACTTGAGCTTAGTTCTTCTCCAATGACGCCTCTTGGCGTTATATCTGAAAACAAAGCCAAATAGAATACATTAGTAAAACATAACTATTTTTTCATCAATACATTTAATTATTAAAGAAATAATACATAATAGAAATTATGTACAATTTACAAATTCTTTAGTTTAAAAATTTTAGACTGTAATTTTTGATACATACTCCATGTTTTTTTTTAAATTGGAATTATTCGTTTTTATTCAAGTATAGCACTTTTAATAAAAACGACCTGTATTACACATAGACACGGCGTAAAAAGTGCATGTCACGTTCACCATTACAGCACTCTGTTTTTGGCTGGTCTCTATACACTAACCAATACCGTGTTTCTTTTAAGTTGAGAAAAAATTGATAATAAATTATTGCTGATGTGGAATATTCGGGAAATGTTATTAAAGAATGCAAACTAGAATCATGTAATCAATATATACAAACAGAGTCGACATGGCAAGGCCACAAACGCAGTCGGGACCACCAGCTATGTTGAGGCCTGGGCATTAAATACAATGTGTGTGATTTGCTACAGTAAAATAACTGTTAAGTTGTATAAAATGTACAGATAAAATTGTTTTTGGGGTCCCTTAAAAGATTTAGAATCCGAGTCTCTCTAGGTTGACCCTGTATACAAAGAAAGCCAGTTGAAATGAACAGTAATTGCATTTAGGTCCATGGAGTCATGCGTTTTTAAAGTATGGGAAACCCGTCACTTTAGATTACAGCTCTAAATGTTTCAAGAAATATTGGGACAATACGAATGACCTGATATTGTTCTCGTTTATTTCTACTATATTACGGTATTTACCTACAATTTTGTTAGTAAATACAACTGCATGAAAAAAAATACATATTCATTCGGGCCAATGATAACCAAAAACCGAATTTCGCAGTTGCTCGTTCAATATAAATCTTAACAACAGAACAAATGTATTATACCTGATTGTGTTTCCAGTTCTCATCCGAATCCACTGAGGAATTGGACGATTCTGTTTCATTTTCTTTGCAAGCTTCTGCTTGATTTTGAACGACTTTTTCGACGACTGTAAAACAACACATGTGTGGAATTAGAACAAACATTTTCTCAAGTCGAAATAAATGGACGCGGCTATCCAAGGCTTCATTTATTATTTGTAAACATAGTCCTAATGCGTGTCTGGAAGTAAATTTAATTTAAAAAACTACTTACCATAGTGAATATTACACGGTCGACCGAAAAACAAACTCCACGTTCAGACACCAAACTCGTGAAGGAATATTGTAGATCGCGATTCGCTAATCGCTTCTAGTGGTTCACGTAAATTGAGGTTATGTTTGGAGTAGCATTATTCGAGCACAGTGTGACCAAACGTTTGACATACATATTTGGTAACACTGTAATTACTTCACACACACACACACACGCGCCATTTGAATTCCGAACCGCGCAGAATGGACATTGAACGCCACTCACAAAACACATATTATTATACTTTTACATTGAACTCCTTATAAAATCATTTATCTTGGAAATCTCTACGTGCAGCTAAAAATGAAGAAATAAAACTATTATTTTTGAAGTTAATTAAAACAGTAGTTTTAATAAGTAGTTACTTATTAGAATAAAAACCCAATCTACAAAAATCTTGGTAAAAGTGTATTAATTTTATGGATTAGATATTATTAAAAATTATATTATTTTCCACAAAGTTACTCTGGTTTTTATTTATACTTATTTTTAATTTATTTATTTTTTGGTATAGTATATTATAAACTGTACCAAATACTTTGTTTGTATCAATTATTGATTTTTTTTATTTTGTAAACTATTAAACAAAAGTTATGATTTATGTGTAACTACCGAGTTACATTTTAAAATTGCATAGTGCATATAGAATATTTTATTTTTAGATAGCATCTAAAAAATAACTTCATAGTCATTGAAGGTTTAAAATCAGTTAAGATTTTAAACTTCCAAAATTAGGAATCATTTAATTGGGTCATCTGGTTATATTTCATTAACCAAGAGATTATAATACTTAATAATTATTATAGTTATTTGAAATAAAAAAATTAGTTTGTTTCACACACTTCAAAAGTTAAAGAGAATTTTAAAACCCATATTCAATGAAATGGATCTCCTTTTACTATGTTATAAAATAAACAATAATTTAAGAAAAAATTTTAGAAATTAAAATAAATTATATTTTAGTTAAAATTTATTGAAATTGGGAAAAATTGTTTTTCCTGTCACTGTTCTTGACCGTAAGTGATAAATGTATAAACACATTTCTTTGTCCAAATTTAAATATTTAAATATACATTACTTAACACAAATATATTATTTTAAAAAATTACACAGCATAGCAATTAACAAGTGTTGAAGATCATGAGTTTGTTCCAATTTTATTGATAACTTGATCTTCATATTCAAGAACTGATTTCTCGTTATTAGGAAATAATTTCTCAATAACCAGTTTAATATCTTCTTCGGCTGAAACAAAATAATGACACTACTTTAAGACACCACTGTGCTGGCTTTTGTTGTTTTAATGTAAATAAACATAAATGATAATAAAAGGCTTAAAATGTGTAACTGACCCGGATTATTCGAAGCATCCATCAATTTGTGTACAATCTCTCTTGCAGTGAATTTGAACAGTTCTCTATTTTTAAATAATTTTTGTTTGTAATAAGGATTCAACAATGTTATAACCTTAGTGGATAGTTCAAATTTTTTCTGTTTTTGCTTTGCGTCTAACAACTTGGAATCGTTTTTCGGTTTACAATCTTGTCTTCTTTTTTCATTATTGCTATTAGATACACCTAATCTTATGCCTAATGATTTCTTTTTTGTGTCCACTACCAAAACATTATCGTTATCACTGTCGTCGCCAAAAAGACTAGTCATGTTACTCTTAAAAGGAGTAGAGCAGGTCTCACTCTGATCAGACAGTCTTGATTCAACGGCAGGCCTTTTGTAGTCATCGCATTTCAGTTCTGTCGTAGTTGCTTCTTTCCTCTTCGAACTGTTACACTCTTTTTTTTCGGTCAACGGTTCAATAATTTCTGCCAATTGGTCCAAAATAACATTTAAATCATTACTCTTTGATAGTTTTTTATCGTTGACTGTGGTTTTATCCGAACACTGAATTAAATTAAAATTATTGGTTAACGTTTTTTCACTATCGAAAATTAAAGGAGATTTTTTCACAGATCGGCTGCTCTTACTTTTAGTATCTGAACAAACATCGAAACGGCTTTTTGTTCTTTTTTTTTTGTTTGCTTTTTTAAGTAGATCAGACGCCATTGTAATTTTAAGAACCGGGTGTTCGTTTGAAGAAGACACATTACAATCGATGTTGTTTTTATCACAACTGTCTAAACTTTTTTCGTTACAAGACTCTTTATTATCGAAATCATCGCTGGAATCTTTTATTTCTATAATATCAATGGGCGTTTCTATTATTTGAACTTCGTCGTCAGAAGATATATCCATATCACTTGTTGTGTTTGTTTCGTATTTGGCTTTTTTCGTAACACATTCATCGCTTTCTTGGTTACTGTCTTTTGATTTGTCACAAGGAAAGACAAAGGACTTCATTGATTGTTGAGTTAGATAATCACGTTTTATTCCTCTCTTAACGATTGGGTCACTTTTTTTGTTGTTAACATGCGTTTGAACTAAATCGGAAGCTGTAATAATGGGCGGAAGAATAACACATTGGCTGGACGACGGGACATTTGATAATTTATCATTATTTGACATGCTCGAGTAATTCTTAATCTTCTCAAAGAGAGTAGATGTATTTGTGTCAGATTTAATCTGCGATATCTGTTAAACATAATGAACACTTTTTTTTAGTAAAAAATAACATATTGTTTTTATTATACTAACAAATTTAGCAATGGCTCTTCGATAAAGCGATACAACTCTTGAACTGTTGAATGCTTCATACTCCAAATTAACGGCTATACTATGAATGTCTTTGGGCGACACTTCTGTAGCATGGGAATCGGACAGAGAACATGCCTCTATATTCTTCTTTAAATGCTCTTCTAAATAACGCAACAATTCTTCACGCACCTTAACGATATTAAAATAGGAAAACATTTTAAAATCAAGTTTTTCGTCCACATGTGTACATAAAACTTACTGTAAACAACTAATTATTAATTTATAATTAGCCAGATAAACCACTTACAGATAATTGTAAGCCATTAACTTTAGTAGTTGTAGCCGATGCTGCTCGAACATTAGCATTCTTTATGACTTTTTCATTATCTCTATCAATATTTGACTGATTGGATCGCCTTATCTCAAACTGCCTTTTTATTTCCAATTCCAATTCGACATTTTTTTGGCAGTCGTCTCTATCTCCATCATTTAAATACTCCTCTGCCATTCTAGGACATAAGAAATACAAGTATAAACAAAAATATAATTTCAATTATATTGATCATGTAATAAGATTTTGATATATAATATACTCTTTAGCAGAATGACGACCTCCGCCATAAAAATCACTAGACACTAGCTGTTCATTTGAAACAAATGTATGCAGACGGTTGTTTATTCCATACATGAACACATCCAAATCTAACTTAACGGTTTTTTCATTTACGCAAACATCACATTTATCAACACAATTTGGTTTTCTGTCTCCGAAATAATCAGCGAAAAACTCGTGTCGACATCTATATTGAAATTACGTTTATTAGAAATTAAATGCAGTGGTCTTGTCATAGGCTAAGCGATGTGTGTACCCAACTCTCACTTTTCTATGTATGCGTGTATTCAAAACAAAAATCCCATATCTGTGGATAGTGTACACGGTTTTTGTTTTAATTACAGGAGTACATAGAAAAGTGAGAGGCGAGTACACCTCAGGGTATCAAGAATTTACACACAATGTATACATCTATGTGTCCACACCACTGATTAAATGTAATAAAATGTATATAAAATATTATTAGAAAATGACAACATTTACTTTACACTTTCACAGTATTGTATCATTTTTAAAAACATGTTGTAACTGCCTTTGGCTTTTTTTTGCTTGTCGTGTGTTTTAGCTTGGGTGATTGCAGATTTTAGAATAAAATCTAATGAACTCTTTGCTTGTTTTGAATGGTAAATTCGGCATCTCGCTTGCCTACCGTCTCTTCCCGCTCTGCCGGACTCTTGATAATATGCCGGAATACTTGACGGCATACCCCAATGAACAACAAATCTCACTGTTGCTTTATCGACGCCCATACCAAAACTTATAGTTGCCGTAATGACTTGGAAGTGGCCGCTCATAAATGCTTCTTGAACTGCTAGTCTTTCTTTGTCTTTTAATCCTATAAAAAAAGCCAAAAACGTCAAACTAAATATTTTCCTACAATAGTATCATTTTGTTAATACCAGCATGGTAAGGGGCTATAGACACTCCTCTTCGACTAAGAACCGTAGCGATTTCTTCGGTTAACTCTCTTGTTCTACAGTATATTATTCCACACGGTTGGTTCAACTAAAAAAATATCACGAAAACAATGAAAAAAGAGAAATCATCAAGTCTTGTCCACACTATTGAGCCAAACACCAACATACTCATCAAAGGTTTGTCAAAATACCAATATTAGATGGATCCCCATGCAGCATTTAGCTGTAACACATTTGTTTTTAAGATCAGAATTTGGCACGCCAATGTGGACGATTTCTTAGTTATTATTAAAAATAAAATCTTTGTTACAAGCTAAATTACCGGTGTAGTGTTTCCTTCATCGTCGTCGTTTAAACACTGATCGATAAATTCTTTTAAATGCTGGTATGAATTGCTGATTGTGTCGTCAAATATTACATCGTAATATAGATTAGATCTAAAACACGGTGTTGTGAACTTGGAAACTGGATTTTTGAGACTAAGTGCAGACATTATATCTTTTACTACCTAAAGCAAAAAAAAAAAAGTTTAAAATTTTGTTAACATTAGAATTTTAGTTATCAGAAAACAAGACAATATATAAACCATTCGACAAGAGAAGTCTTCTGTGCATTAACCAAAACTAATCATACCCGAAGTCTTCTCACGCAGAACAGAGTGTAAACACTTAATTATGTTGTACACATTTTATCTAGTACATACATACTTATACTATGCTATTACAAATCTCATATTTTTTAATAAGCATATTCCATTTTTCTTTTTATATAAAACATCACAATTTCTTTAAAGTATAACTTGATTGATAAAAACAATAGATTGACGGCATGTACATTTTTTGGCAACCAGATATTGGTTGCAACATTGTATTAATTAATAACCATAGATTTGTTTCGTCCATTTGGGTAATTCAAATCTATTTGGGTAATGTTACCAATCTATGTGTAATTTAAAATAACCAATAACTCGGAACAATTAATAATATCATATTATGAGAAACCCTCTTAAAAAATTAGAAGGTATACACACATAAACTTCAATAAAGAAGTTATGTTTTATAGCCCCCAAAAATATACACATGATATTGAGTAATATTAGAATATTACTTCAGCACTAGCAGTCGCAGTTAATGCTATCCAAGGAATTTGTGGATATAATTCTCTTAACTGGCCCAGTTTCAAATAATCAGGTCTAAAGTCATGACCCCATTGACTGACGCAATGAGCTTCGTCGACTACAATATAAGCCAACTTGTTTTTCCGCACTAAATAACTTAATAGTTTCTAAAAAAATAAAAATACATGTTACGTATGTCGTTATAAATGTAATTGTTACTGATTTGTTCACTTTAAAGAATTCGGTGGCGGCCTGTTCTGGAGTGACATACAACAGTTTTGTGGTAACTTTTACAGAGTACAGATCGTTGATTACTCGTTTTCTATCAGACGCAGCCATTTTTGAATTAATCGTTTCTGCACAAATCTTTAATCGATTTAAATGATCTATTTGGTCCTAGGAATAAACATTCACTAATTATTGTCACATTATAAATTATAATACGTACAAATACGTTCAGTAGATATTACCTTCATCAGCGCTATCAAAGGAGAAAAAACTATAGTGACTTTTGGTGAATGGAGCACTGCCGGAAGTTGAAAGCATAAGGATTTTCCGGAACCAGTTGGCATTGACACAAACACATCACAGCTGCCTTTATAAAATTAAAATTATTGAATATTAAGGTACATCAAAACTATAACAATAAAAAATTATGTATAATTGCAGTTTCGATCGATGAGTACAGTATAATGTGGTCAGTTATGAATTGTTGGTAATTTTTTTAAGTAAATATGAAATAATCTTAAAATTACCCTAAGATTAAAAAATACTTTTTAGTTTATTGTGTTATTTCCAAATTTGTCCTCAAGAAAACTATTTAATGTCATTTATATTTTAGACAATGATTAACTTCATAACTTGTAGTTTATATAGTAGCTTCCGAAGAACAGCGACCTAACTAAAAAAAACATCAAATTTTACTGGAGTGAATTAATTAAAAAAATATATTTTTTAACAATTATAGGTATATTTACAAAAAAAAAAATTGGATAACTCTGACAAAAAAACTAATTAATTCTTCGCAATTTTAAATAATGACTTTATGAATTCATTGTTCCTGATTTAAAAAATTTGCACTTGGATCGTGTTCTTCGGAAGGTTATAAAGAAACCTGATAAGCAAGTTTTTACTAATACAACAACATTCAAGCTGAGCCACAATAAACTATTAAACGTATGTTTGGATATTTTGACAAATACTGCAGTCATAAATATATATCTAAAGTTGACTAAGTAGTAAAATTCTAAATAGCCATTTGAGACTTAAGAATTATAGTTTATACCAATGTATATTATGCGCTGATTTCCTCGAGTAAAAGCAATCTATGAATACTCTAGTAAATACTTGGCAATAGAAAAATGCACTACTTCTTAGTTTGAATTATATATTTAATTATAAATACAATAGTTGGTTTTTGAGCCTTTGATTTTTTTTATGAAACATTTTTCGCAAAACACCAACATCCGACTACGTTGTAATGTAAACATTCATTTTGATTAAGCAAAAGGAAACTTCAAATATTACCGTGGAATTACATTATTATTTACTCCTTTGGTTAACTTACGTTCGAGTATTTTAGAAACCGCTTTCTTTTGTAAATCACTTTTAAATGACGAATGACGAAAATGAAAGTTTAAGTTTTTAGTTAAAATTTTAGAATTCATTATGATCGGTTTATCTTTTACCGAAGAGTCTTCGTCCGGTGACTTTGTGACTTTATCCATTCTAATTTCTAAAAAGAATTCGGTTTTTTTAGATGAAAATTCTACTACTCGGTTAATTGTTTAGTTAGTTATTTTTTCTTTAGTTGATATCTTATCTACATTCAACTTTGAAATATTGCCAAGCGCGCATATAACTACAATTTAATACATTAACGAAAAGCGGCATTATTCATTATATAACAAAACAAAAATATTGTATATTATTATTGTGATTTAATGGATACTGAATTTAATTGAGATAATAGATATTGAGTTTTAACATTGGCTGCCGTCTGCCCGCAACCCGTTAAAAATTGACAATTCTACCAAATTATCTAACTCGTTTTTTTTTTCTTGATATAAAATCATTATTTATTATTTTGTTAAGTTTTCTACGGCCGACGACGCACGCGCACTACACGTGTTTATAGTAAAATGTGATAAAAAAAAAAAAAAGTTGAAACTGATAAAAGGAGAACGTTCGTTATATCTAATAACGCTTACTGCGAATTTTTTCATTGGAGGTGTACAATAATTTGTTTAAAATTTAAATTCGAATAAAAAATTCATAGTGATCGTCGTGAAAAAAAGCTCCACAGAAGTCGGCTGATTACAAAAAAAATCTGTCCTGTTTTGTTCATAATATCAGATACATAAAAAAAAAAAAAAAATATTTAAAAACAATAAATGTTGGCTTAGAAAACGACGAGTAACGGTTTGTTCCAAATAAGTTAAATGGCCTAACGTTTGTTTCTACCAATTTTGGTCCGTTCGAGGGGTTTTGCAGTGCACTGTGTACTACATACTGTAATCAAATCGATGTCTTTTGTTTAACCGGAACGGAGGACTTTTTTTTAACGATTTTCGACTAAGGTTCAGGTGGACTGCAGTGGAAAAAAAACCGTTTGTATTGAAATTTCGCGTTTCCTAAACCAATCCATCATGTCGGATAGCGAAGAAACCCCCAAAAGTGTACCATCTACATCTGAAGAGAACAACGAACAACAGGAGAAAGATCAAAATTCAGGCGATGCAGATGCAGCTGATGCGGGTAGTGGTGCTACTAGTGCTGGAGCTCTAGAAGTGGCCGAAGAGAAGCCGTCCGACGAATACATCCGTTTACGCGTCATCACTAGCGACATGACCAACGAAGTGCACTTTCGTGTCAAGTCGGCCACCTCGCTTGGACGGCTGAAACGCTCATATTGCAGCAAAATGGGATTCCAAGTGGACGAACTCCGTTTTGTGTTCGACGGACATCGTATCACAGAAGACGACACCCCGAAGTCTTTAGGGATGATTAACGATGATGTGATTGAAATTTACCAAGAAAGAACGGGTGGCGGCGGTATGTAATGTCGACGATAATAAACACAATTTTTTTTTTATCTTAATTTTTTTTTTACTTGTAACATAAATGTACTGTATTTATTATTAAATAAATCTTTTGGTCAAAAATATTTATATAAATATAACAACAAGTAACATTTCAGGAACAGTACAAAATAAGTGCCGTTTTCGTTAGCTAAGGCTTATTATTTATTATTAAGTGTACTGTGACACGGAATTCATTACCTCTTTTTTTTTTCTCTGTAAGTTTTTAATCAGTTTATGTAATTTCTTTCAATAACAAAGGTATTTACACCATATAAAAGTAAAGTTAGGTTGTTCAATTCCTAATAAAGATATTTCAACACTTAACTGTATCAATTAAAGAAAGTAATTGTAATCCAGCGAAAATTATTAACAGATTTTTATTAGGTTACAATTTTCATTGTTTAAGTTAATAATTGAAATATTTTTATAAGTTTTTGTAGAATTATTTAAAAAATAATGCTTTAACTTTTTATTTTAAATAAATGATCATTTGATTTAAGTAGTTCCATTGTACATTTTTTTTACCACCTTTTATCTCCTCTATTCAGAAACCTCTTTTTTTTTAATTTGTTTAAGATATAACGTGAATGTGTATAGCACAGTAGATTATATGGTTTTCGAAACATGTTATAGAGGTATTGCGTGTTCGATTCTCATCCATCCACTGTAAAACAGACATTAAACACTCACACCTCTATCAAGCTTTGCTTACTCGGACAGAGAAATTGGAAATTAAAACGCACAGAATATTATGTACCTGGATATGAGCGTTACCTGTGTTTATAAAAGTAAGTTACATATATTTAAGTAATATATAATGTAAGCCAATACTTAAAACAACACATCTAGTCGTAACTGAGGCTATGTGCGATGAATTAATAAAAAAAAATTTAGTTTTTGTAAAAAAAATTATCAAGGTTTATTTTACATTTTAAACTTTTGTAGACATACTACATAATTTAACGAAAATCTACCTTAAACTATTTTTTCAAATATTCTGAATTCCTTAATTTTATTGAAATAAAATCAACAGCGGTACTGTGCGATAAAAAATCTTATCATATCATAAAATAAATATAATACACATTAAAAAAACAAAATTTAATCATCCATTATTAGGAAAATATTAAAAACAATTTCAATGTGAATTATTATTAACATACTAATAATTAATAAAATTAGCACAGTCAAATTATGTTTTTAATATTAAAAACATATTTGTACATGAAAAAAAAATTGTAAGCTAAATGTACTACAAAGATGATTAATAATGTGTACAAAATAAATATTAGCCAATTCTGCTAATAACAACAAAAATTATATTTATGATAATAAAAAAGAAAAAAAAATTATAAATAAACAAAATTTAAGTCAGTTTAAACAAAAATGTAAATAAATGAATATAAATAAAAATGAAAAAAATATTCCATCAGTATCAACTAACAATGATGGTTCATACTAATAATACAATTTTAAGCATAATATGAATACATATATTATAGTGCTTAAAACAATAAATCATTTTAAATAAGGACCAAACATATTTCCAAAAAGATAATCTACACAAAAAACCAAAATAAAATAAGTCAATAAAGATAATAAAAAAAATGGTCAAATAAGCGAAAAAAACAGTGGACACCCAAAAATGGATTTTCTTAACATTATATTATACATGAGAAAATATGTCCAACAAATATATTTAACTAACATTTCCCAAATTTTAATTTAATGAACAAACTATTCTCCTAATCGAGAACATAATATCTAATGATTTATTTATAACCAACACAAAACTATAAATTTATACGACATCAATAAAAAGTAATAAGTAGTCCATTTTTAGAAAGAAAAAATGAAAACCTAAATCCTTAACAAGAATAAAATTACAAAACTATTATTATTTGAAATGTAATCAATTGTGAACATTGTTGTAAAACGTCAGAAAACCTGATGGTCATTAATTATTTTGTTTGACCTGTTCATGTACAGAACTGTCTTCACTTTTACTTAATATATGACCTTGTTTTGCTGCGTCCAGTACACAAGTAGTGCAGTTATTATCAGACAAATTTTCACTAAACAGTGAATCATCCGAGTTATAAGACTCATATTTTCTCAACCGCTTAATTACATCTTTCAACTCTTTCTCTAGACGCATAGTTTTATTTTGATATTGTTCACACCAATGGCGAAGATTGGCAAGTTCTATAGCTTCTGATCTTGAAGAACATAGCTTATCTCTAATATATCTATGGAATAATATAGTAAAAAAAAAAAAAAGGATTATATATTTATTAATTTGAGTAAATTGTATTTAAACTTGCCCTAAGGGATCACTGGGCCGTAAAGGGTCTTGATACATTTCAGCTAAAATATTTGTGAATGTTGATAATATGCCCACTTCTTCCAAATATTTTCTGAATTCTTCATGTCTTGTATCAAACTAATAACAAATAAAATAAATTATATGATATATTTATAATTTTTACGCAAAACATTAAATTGTTTTAAGCTATTTATTTGTTATTAGTGAATTCTATGTAAATTATATTAATAAGAGTAGTTCACTAAATTAAAATAAATAAATATTGTTATTTATTTTTACACGTTGGAATACCTTTTAACTATTTACACCCATTCATACACGTATATATTAAATAAATAAAATTTTCTACAAATAAATTTATAATATAAATAGTCAAACAATTGAATAATATAAATTGTAGTGAACAATTTAAACTTGAAACAGTTTAATACATTTTAAAATAAGTAATTATTAAACATCGTTTTTTTTATTTTTATTATAGTCCAAGAAGCTAATCCTAGTTTACATAATATTATTGCAAAATATATTTTTTAGGTTTTTTAAATAATTTTTTTTTGCTTTGTAGGGGAAAGGAAACTTATTATCCTTTTAAGCCATATACAAAATATGTTTGTTACTTTTTGAAAGCTTTAAGATGGTAATGCTGAAGGAACTTCAGCAATGGTATTATACATCATGTATCATTAATTCTATAATATACATTTTGTTTTTAAGCTTAGACTATTTAGGTATTACACAATATAAATAACATAGAAAGAAGAATTACTTGCTGGTACATAGAAATCATTATATCCAAACTATATAAGCTTTTTTAATCACAGGAGAGTGTGTGGTAAGTATAAAGAAATGTTGACAAATAGGAATTTCACCAACATTTAGAAGGAACTAGGTTTAATCAAAAGACTAAGTTTAACTTAAAATCATTGTATTGTTCATATTGAACAAAGCTCAAGATAAAGGCTATGAACAAAAAATGAAGATATTTTGAACAACACTAAGTTACCTATATTATGGTTTTCAGTACGCCAAGTAATGTGTATTCGGACAATGTTAGCCAGCCTTATTATTATGTGGTACGGGTAAGACCAAGAAGAATAAAAAAAATTAATTTTAATTAAGGTAAAATATTGATACAATATTTCAATCTAATCGACAATCATCGTCTCTATCGATTGTGACGCCCACATTCTAGTAAAAATCACTTTGGAGATATTAAGTTTAGGTCGGGCAGCAAGATAATTATTTTACATACCTTATTAGACACACTGCGAGTATACGTTTGGCGGTGTGGACGCTGAGGTGTCTGCTGAGGTTCCTGATGCGAATCGTCAACAGCCGCATTAGCATTATTGTAAATTGGTTGACCGTTGTTGTTGTACTCGTCTTCCTCTTCGGTGTGGTACGCTGGTTGGGGTGTCGGTGGATAATGGTGGATTGGAGGCCAAGCGATAGAAGGATATCCAAAATGAGCGGGCATCGGAAAAATTGGTTGACCGGGCATAGAAAAAGCTGCGGACGGAGGTTGCGGGCGATAGATGGGTACCATTTGCGGCATTAATTGGAATTGCGGACAATCGCCCATTGCGCAAGGTATAATTATTTAATTATAAGAGAGGAAAACAAAAAAAAATAATAATAATAATATTAATAACTAAACAAAGCAGTACAATTTACAAAACGAACTAGAAAAGAAATGAACGCTACTCGTTCGACGTAAGATCCCTACTCAAAAAGAAAAAAACCGAAGCGTCGCCGACATTAAAAAAAAAAAAACAAATAAATAAACAATATAGTTTATTTTTGACCGGGAAACCCCTAGTTTTATCATATATACCAAGGTACATGTTTTTCACTCGGTAGTTGGCTACCATAGATTTATCAATATGTGATAGCCCGTCAACGCGGCTGCTGTTGTTTACCCAGCACGTCATATCATCACATAATCACCGCTTTCTGCTTATCAATGATAAACAGACTTGATTTATATTTTGTTATTTGAAAATATAACAAATAAATGTGTTCCAATTTAAAATTTTAATAATTATATTTACATATTATAGGCGTATAGGTGTTCTTGTAGGAAATGGAACTGCTAGTCGCAGGCTTTGATGACATCAAATTCAACGTTGAAATAGCATTAGACGAACAGCATGGAGCACTACCTTTGCCATTTAATGGAATGGATAGTATGTAAATTTGTTTAAATTGTAAAATATTACTTTTTATTGAAACAAGTTAATAGAGCTTAAAGCTCCGTTTGTATTAAGTCCAATTATTTATTTTAAATTAACAAAATTAAAGTAAAGATTAAATATCTATATATTTACATTTTGTTTATGACAAACTTTAACAATCTATAAACAACTAGTAAGAGGTGAAATTCAATACATTATTATTTTACATACAAAATTGTGTCGAAAATTTTCCCGATATTTATGACCGATGTGATAACTTATTGAATGTCTTGTAACGTAAGCAAATATTTTAGGCATTGACTACTAAAATAGAGACTAATTAAAAATGTTACTACTGTTTCTTTATATTCCGATATACTTATTGTGTACTAATCAATTTATCTTGATGTAACTAATAAAAATTTATTCACTTTATTTTTTTTTTTAATAAATATACACATCAAATTTTAGTAATACCATTCTGCAAAATGTCTATACAAAATGAAATGTTATAAGATTTTCTTAATATCGAGCAAAAAAATCTGATATTTGTCGTGACTTCAAAATATGATTACTTTTTAGGTCAACTAAAATTATTCTCGCTTAGAATTAAAATTGATTGTTATTGTTTTTTGTTAATGCGTTTGGTGGAGTTTTTTAAAGCATCAAACTACATGCTAGCAAGAGCAAGTGGTGTGGCAATCAATGTCTGCACACAGACATTGATTGCCACACCACTAAAACTCTGCTTAATGAGGATGTGGAGGACGTAAGAAATTAAAGTATAACTGAAAAATATGTATATATGTTTTCATACTTGTTTTTGGTTCATTGTAGATCGATTTGATTTTGTAATCAAGCTTACAGGAGATCAGTCATGTTACTTTTTACCAATTTCGAAGGTTAACGCTTTTCAAATTAAAAAAAATTAAAATTACAAAATTCTAGTAAACTTTATAAAAAATTCAAATCTGTTTTCAGATTTTTTCTTGCATCAATGAATTGATAGGCGTGATAAACAAATTATAAGTCTAATTTCCTATATTGTGGGTGAGATAGACAAAGAAAGGAAAATCCCCTTCTGTGACATAAATACATTCCTTTGCATTTCGTAATTGTAAACGTGTTGTAATTGACATAATTACATAATACATATTTAGTTCTACATTGAAGCTAACATACCAACAATTCATAAAAAAAAAATTAGTTTTGTTTTCAAATAACTAATCATTAATCAATAATTTCAGTTAATTTTGTAAATTAAACGTGATAACAAAGAAAGAATGTAATGTTCTATTTAATTATATTCTACTGTTTACTTGAAATTGAATACTAATGTTTTGCCAACTTTTATATTTCAGAATCCATTGCAGCAGTTTGCTCTTTTTACCCAAAAGGCGCATGTGCCAAAGGGGCCTTATGTCCTATGCGGCATGTACGCGGGGATAGAACTGTTGTCTGTAAACATTGGCTACGAGGTTTATGTAAGAAAGGAGACCAGTGTGAATTCTTACACGAGTATGATATGACCAAAATGCCTGAATGTTACTTCTATGCACGATTTAGTAAGACCTCAATGTATTTGAAAACTTGCATCTGTTATTAAATGCCAGCTTTTTATTTTTAAAGATGCGTGTCATAATAAAGAGTGTCCATTTTTGCACATTGATCCTGAAAGCAAATTAAAAGATTGCCCGTGGTATGATCGAGGGTTTTGTCGCCATGGGCCCCATTGTAAACACAAACATGTTCGCCGTGTCTTGTGTATGAACTATGTAGCTGGATTTTGTCCCGACGGTCCTAATTGTAAATTTGTACAGTAAGTACTAAGTGTGTTCATCAAAGTTGGTAATTGATAAAAAAACATATAAAACATTAACCATGAAATGAAAAATCACCATTAAACTAAATTCACAGAATTAAATATATTTACAAATGAGTAAATAGTAAAACATTTTTAGTTGAAAAATGTTCAAAAGTATTTTAAAATTAAATAAAATGTTTATATAACTTTAGATCTCTGTTCAAGCTACAAGTATTTTTTTTTATTATAAAATAAGTACAATTTTTAAAATCTGTTACTTAAAAAACAATAGTTCTACCATATTATATTATAGTTCTACAGAATTATAAAATCAATGGTTTTACACATTTATTAGCTTTCAACTGTTTAATTTTAAATATTTGTATTATACCTACTTAGTTTTAATGTTATTATTTGACCCGTAGTCCAAGATTCGAATTGCCTGCCTATCAACAACACGACGCCAATCAAAAAGATCCTAAAAAACTTGTGGTCATTTGTCATTTTTGTGGCGATACCGGACATAAAGCCATGTATTGTCATAAAATGGTATCGGATCTTGTGAAAATAAAACCCGAATTAGAAAACAACGATCAGGCGCAGGCAAACAATCAACCAGGATTCCAAAGAAAGTTAAAACCATTAGAAGAAGTTACTTGCTATAAGGTATAATAGTTATTTTCTATAATTTTAACATTCAAATATGAAACTATATAGTCGATAATTTATTATATATATGTGTATATATGTATGTTTTTTTTTTTTTAGTGTGGCTTCAAAGGACATTATGCTAACAAATGTCCAAAAGGCCATTTAGCGTTTTTGTCCTTGCAACAAAATCAAGCTCTTCAAAATAACCAAGGTACATGACAAAACTAAATTAAAGTCCAAAATATTCTTATGTTAATCATAATTTGTATGTGTGATATCTAATATTAAGATATTTATTGATAAATATATTTTGTTTTTTTTTTTTTAATAAAATTTGAACTCTATAGAGGACATGTTGTGGATTAATTATGATGAAACGATTTTTATCTATATCTTTTATCTTTTATTTAAAAAAAAATGTAATTAAAATTTCTTTAATAACATTATATTTTTTAATGTACTTAAGTATGAAATGTATTAAATTTTGTGTAATTTAAAATAATTTATAATTCATTATGTATTATTAACTTTTATGATGCATTTTTATTAACTTGTTAATAACATATTGTATTTAATGATAATTCTGATTAATTGTTGATATACTATAATGAGCTGATTATTAGTCAAGTATAAAAACATACTGGTCCAATAATTTATATTCTGTTTTATTTTACAAGCAATTTTTAAAATCTACATAATATAGAGAATAAATAATTTGAATATGACCTACAATGTGATTAACTTAGTGCAAGGCCCTCCTCATTTTCTTTAAAAAAAATTACAATATTTTACAAGGAAATTTTAAAATCTACATAATATAGAGAATAAATAATTTGAATATGACCTACAATGTGATTAACTTAGTGCAAGGCCCTTATTTTCTTTAAAACAAATTATGATTAAAAAAAAAATTGTTATTTCAATAGCGATCTAACGCATTCATTCAAATTTCCTGTATTGTATTTAATGATAATTCTGATTAATTGTTGATATACTATAATGAGCTGATTATTAGTCAAGTATAAGAACATACTGGTCCAATAATTTATATTCTGTTTTATTTTACAAGGAAATTTTAAAATCTACATAATATAGATAATAAATAATTTGAATATGACCTACAATGTGATTAACTTAGTGCAAGGCCCTCATTTTCTTTAAAAAAAATTACAATATTTTACAAGGAAATTTTGAAATCTACAGAATATAGATAATAAATAATTTGAATATGACCTACAATGTGATTAACTTAATGCAAGGCCCTCACTTTCTTTAAAAAAAATGATTATTGTTATTTCAGTAGCGATCTAACGCATTCATTCAAATTTCCTACATTAATAAATATTTTTTCTATTTGTATTCAACAGCAAATTAAACATTTACAAACAGTAAATGGCAAATTAAAATGTCTATAATAAAATTACTATTTATTGATATTGCACAAAAAAAATCTCCCACTGTTTCCCCCAGGAGGGATTTGAAACTTTTTCTTTATTTCGCCTTTTTAAGTGTACTCAATGTTTTTTTATTTATTATATAAAAATTAAATTGAATTTGTAGCAAACTTTATTTCTATTAAGGAATACCTAACCAACAAAAAAAAAAACTTAAAAAAGATTACAAGCAATATATTTTACCCAACTATATAAAGGTACTCGATAAGTTTCGCTTTGGGTTTTCTGGACAATATATACTAATTTTTATAAAATATAATATTGTTACATACTGTAATTTACTTTTTCGAGTCCGATTATAAAAATGTCAATAAAACAATAATAATACAATATCCGGATAAACCATCAAATAATAAAAATACAAATAAAATAAATAACATGAACCAAGTAAGTAAGATAAAATAAATCGCATAGAAGATAATATTTACTCATACGAATTTTATTGATATTTAATATTTTTTTATCATGTACAGTGCACGACTGGTTTTTCAAATTGTAATTAAATAGTTTTTTCTATTACATATTAATCAGAAAGATTATTTAAATAAAAACAAAACAAATCGCTGGAGTACTAAACTGCATATTTTATATTTAATAATTGTATAATTATGTAAAATAATTATTATTTTAAAACTTACAAGCATCTAAAACTATTAGAATAATTAATAATAATAAACTTTACCTGTATAATATTTTACTTGTATGTATGGTGAAAATATTTAAATTCCTATAATTGAGATATTTTTAAAAAAAGCTAAATAATTTGATGATTATAAGTTTAGTACATTTCTTAATTAATAAATGTATCGCATAGGTATATACTTGTTATAGGGTTTATAATATGTATATATCCAGCTTTAGTAAACGAACACCTCTTACAATTATTTTCAGTATCGTACTCTCATACAAGGTTTTATATTATGAGGAAGGGTCAATTATTATCATGTAGTTACGGTGGTTTATACATCCGCCATTGACATGAAATGATTCAATTATATATAATCGCTGGTCCAAAATATAAGTCCAATGTTTATAATATTATTATCCCAGCTGATAACTACCTACTAAAAAAGTACTTGTAAAATTTAAATATTTTATAATAGATATTTTAAGTCTAAATTGTTGTATTCCAATAGGCTTCTGGTACACCTTATCCCACTCGAGTGGGGTTGCCACTATAATCCTCTCTCTTTAAATTTCTTTGTTCGATTTCATACATCTAACCCACTCAACGCTCCTTTATAATCTGTTTACAAACAAAATTCATCCACTTTTTCGTCCGTCTACCTTTAAAAACATTTACTGCCCACTTCACTTCTTTACTTTCTTCCGTGCGCTTTTCTCCCCACTAGCATTTCTTCTGGTTTTTTTTTACTGCCCGACAATACTTCATTGGATTTATTGTGTTGTCTATTATTTTCTCTTTTTTTTTGCATTTATATTACTAGTCCTTTTATGCTTTAACAATAATTATAAAAAAATAGAACAATAGACTGTGAATAACGGAGAAGCAGGTCGGAGCATATTAGGGTACAAAATCAATATCTTTATGTAAATCACATTATACCATACTATGTTTAGTTTTTAAATATTTTTGTAAATTACCATATTTTGAGCATATAGTATCGTCGGCGGTAAAACCATAGTTATCTACCAAACATCTTCACTGTATAATACTTGTGTGTATTTGAAATACCTATACATTTGAATTGCCTCCCTATTTTAGTTAACAAAACTGGAAAAAAATGGGAATAAGATTATTACTACCCATATAACGTCTTTGTATTCACGGGCATCTAGTTAGCTAGATTAATTTAAAAATGTATATTATTTTTAAATGCGATAAATGTGTTGCTAGATCTGTAAGATAAATAAGATAGGTTACCTAAACTATGGAAAATTAAAGATTATAAATAATTATTAAATGTATTAATAAGTATTGATTTTGTAAGCGAAGGATGGACACTAGTCTGAGTAGGTATACCACGCGATAACTAATATGTCATAGGGCAAACACAATACCAGGATGTTGAGTTAAAATTATAATTACAAATGGGACCGTTTGTAAATGCAATTGGTTTTGCATTGAATACGCGAAGAAACTCCCTAATTTATATAATTCAATCTATAAAAAAGGCTTTAAAAATACACGCGTAAATCGAATAGCACAATAAATTAAATAAGTATGAATTCCAATGCCAATAGGTTAACGTATCGAATATATAAATAAACAAATGACGGCCATTAAAAAAGCCATTTATGACTAAAGTTGTATTAGGTATATGCTAGTTTGATATAAAGTTGTATAATGTTGATACAGATGAACAAGGTTGATGATACAGACACTATAAAACAGTTACCAAACTGGGTTTCCAACACATAGGACGAAATTAATATTATAAACGTAATTATTTAATTATTTAAACATAAGTTTTAACTAATGAATGCAATGCATACAAATTACAATAGGTATAGTAAACGGCGGTGTAATATGGTCTCATCAATGGTGTTCTAAGTACGGCGCATATGTACACACATATATTGATATATATTATTATACATACTGGAATTAATTTGCATTTAATTAATAGTTGACGGAAAATTTTCTCCACAAAATGTTACCATACATTACACGATAAATGCTTTGACCACTGAACGTAAATCTATATCGTACACGTTTTAATTGTAATTAATTGAAAAATGTCAGTGTTTTAGTGAATTTTTTTTTGTTATAGAAAAATAGTGGTTAAAAACACGTTGTATTTTTTAAATTATATCGTCGAATTGTTGTTTTTTTCCAAGGACTTTATAAAGAAAAAAGTGAACTCTAAGTGTTAATTTTGTTAACTATTTTTTCTATAAATAAACTCTTAAATTTATAGTTTTGTTTTATATTGCTGGAACCATGTCGAATTCCGCAGAATTTCTTTTAAAAAATCATTCTGCGGACAAAACTATGATTCTCAATGAGAATAAACAAGGCGAAGCTGATAAAAACGGTAATACTCAAGTATATATTTTAATCGCATTTATAGTTTATGCATGCATACAGCGCATATATTTTAAATGTTATCTAACATATTTCAAATATTTTAGGAAGAAAAATCTGTAGATCGAGTAAATACGAAGAAGCCTACCGCCGATCGTTAGAGGATCCAGAAGGATTTTGGGGTGAAGTCGGTTCTATAGTGGATTGGCATAAACCTTGGGATAAAGTTCTGGATAACAGTGCCCAACCGTTAACCGAATGGTATGAATTTTAAACATTATTAGTAAAATATTTTCTATCCGCTAAAACATTGTCATTTATTTCTCAATTTAGTTATATCAGACGCTTTAAAAATTCGTACTGTAAACCGTTTATTGAATATTAACAGCAGTGTGTTATAACCGTTGTACAAGAAATCTTCTCCTTGGGTTGATCGATGAGAATAATAAGAATATTAACTAGTATTAATGCTAACTAATTCTAATTGTACTAAAACTCATCAGTAAGATCGAGTTAATAACCCCCTAGTAGGCAAAATAAATAAATAAAAATGCGATAAACGATGGTATATAAGCAAAAAGTAAAAACATTAAAACAGTAGGTTCTTTAAACGTAGCCTTTTATTAACTTTAACAAATTTAATCTTACAATTAGTAAGTATTATTTTATCCATAGACATAATATTAGACAGTCAATTAATTTTAATATATAGAAAATTAAATTTAAAAATAAAATACAGTATCCAAAACTAATGATTTTATTTTTAATTGGTGGATAAAAAGATCATAATTGCTGTATAACCATAAAATGAATTTTGGTTAATAATTTGGTTAAAGAACTGTATTATAACTTACCTAAATGTTAGCCTTAAAATTTTAAATAAATGTGCTAAGCATAGTTATTTCATAACCGTATGTCCGCATGATATTATTCTATATTCTAAATATTCCTGTTAACAAACTATGGTAAGGTTTATAATTGTAATTTTGTAACTATACACTAATCTTGTTATTTGTAATTTTACCCCTTTATTTGATGACAACAAAATTATCCTTAAAATAAGTGGAAACTCGATCTCTCAATTGTTCGCATGTTTTCTCAGACGTTTGTACAACCGGTGTGTAATTAATTTTCTTATGTACCTTATAGCGTGTAACTAAATAGTGAGTACTCTTATGTATAATTAATACGTATACACTATACACGGGGGTTTTCTAAGTATCATTGACCTGTGAATTTTGTGTTTATTCATAGCTTCGATGCAAAATGTCTCCATTGCTTCCAATTAAGTACTCATTTTGTTTAAAAGTCTGACGACCGTCTACACTTTTAACATTTACCCTAATCTCTAGCCTACGATATACACATTCTCAAGACTGTCAATGGACGAGAGAGGGATAGACTGTGATAATACTGAAAGGGCAATTGTTGCCATTTTCATTAAAAAAAAAAACCCATTATCATAATAATTAAACTGTCAATACGCTAGTACGGTTCAATGTAACTTAAAAACCTAACAAAGTAACTGCATAAAAAAAACAATACAGTAGAGCCAGCGGCTTCTTAGGGCGGGGGAGGTCACAGGTGTACAGGAGTTATAACTGAATGCGATTTTATTACTTTTAAAGACGGTTAATAACACATGAATTGATCATTTTTTTAATTAATTATGAGTTACGACTAATAGATTATATTTATGAACAAAGTGCAAAATATATCCTTTTTGGTAGGCCTTTAATGATACCGTGATGATCATCCAGTTTGTTTGGGCTTGCTAATGTAAACCGTTGTCAAGTTATTATGGAAAAAGTGAATTCCATTTACGCGGACTTTTTCTTACTTCAATTGTGTTTAGTGAATAATTATCTAAGCGGGTTGTATACAAATTCAATATTCTAAAATATTATCTTTTGTCACGAGACGCAACTCTATTGTATTTTTTAAATTATTTTTATAATAATAATCATATTTTATTATAATATAATAATGGTTGCAAAGTTTTGTACTATGGTTATGAATATATATAACACCTACTACCTAGCCTTATATTTTACTAAATATTTTTTATATTACTTAGTATAATTTACTTACTACTAATAGTAATAGAATTTTGTTTTAAATTTAACGTTTATCATAATTTCAAAAGTATGCATATTTTTACATACAGCCATTGTTATAAGACCACAGTGGTTATTTTTTTTAACAAAATTCAACTAATAAAATATGTGTACTTAATATTTTTGCATTCTGTATGAACTGTTACTAGCATTCCTCTACGCTATAATGTAAACTAGGAGAGTTTTTCAATTTTATTGAGGATCTAAATTAACTATGAATAATCGTTAAACATATGTTTTAATGTATATGATGGTTAATGTTGAAATTTAAGAATAGTTACAACAATAAAACATTGTATACTGTATGATAAACTATACTTAAACGTTAAGGGGATTGAAAGCGGTCTGTTTTTGGACGTTTTACACCTTAGTCCTTAAAGCCTGACAAACTTACGCCTACTTAGAATAAATTAAATTATGTGATATCTACATATTTTAATAATAAAATAAACAATGTTCTTTGTAGACCTTAAGTTACTATAGCTAGAATATTGAATACCTAACAAATTATATATTAATGATATAGCTGGTAGTTAACTTGGCAATCGCAATATTAAATTCAAGAATAAAATATTAGATGTACATTTCAAAGTCCAAACAAAGAGGACGATCAACACGGTATCATGAGCTACAAAATAGGGTAAATGTATGTAAATATAACCCATTAGTCATAATTAATAAAAATGATCGATTCGTCGTAGGATTGCCGCATAGACCGTTGATAAGGTTACGTTTACCAACCTTAGTAGATAACTGTGCTTACTGCTTTCAAATAAACGATGCTAACCTGTAAATAGTAGAAATACAAAAATCTATAAAAACATTGTAAATGCTGTAATATGCTTATGGTTATATGTTGAGTATTAGATGGATTACTAACCTTAAGGTCGATGGTCTGTCTTTAATAACTTGTTGCTCATTGATAATATATTGAAAATATTTTCAAATATCTGTTGTAATTCGTTCACACTTAGCAACCTGGAAACTTACGACGGTCAAAGTACAATTTTCGCCCTTTTCTTGGGTTTTCTTTTATAAAAAAACAAATTTCCGACTACAGAAGTGTTAGATAATCGCATAATATAGTTAAATCTAATTTTCAGACTTTGTTATAAAATTTCACTGGAAAATGAGAAAAAAACAAATTTCACCCCTTCTAGAGAAAAGGGATTTTGATATTTTTTGTTATAAAAAGTTTTATAGATCGTCGTAATTTAAAGTTGGAAAATATAATAATACATAATACAAGTTTTTTGGTTTTTTTTCTCAAATTTAAATGTGAAGAAGCGAATTTTGTAATTTTGGGCTCAATAAAATAAAATTCAGGTGAAATTTCTTACCTCTAAAGTTGTACACGGAGACGTCGGTTATTTTTTACTATTTCTTTTATGGCATTGCATTTTGTTTTTATAAACATAAAGCGCACATAATATTTTTTGTTCGTTATTATTATTACGACGCCTCAGTGCTATTTCAAAAACAAAAACAAAATACAATTTCATGGTAAATAATTGAAATGTTACCTATAACTGTGTTGGAAATGGAAATAAATTATAACTGAAAAATACGCACACACATCAAAATCGAATTGACAAATGTGTTGATCAATTTTTTTCTTCTTCGATAAACGATATTGTTACAAATCTTCGTTCTAGGTTTGTTGGAGGGCAAATAAACGCGTGTTACAATGCAATCGATCGCCATCTGAAAGCAGGAAAAGGAAAAAAAATAGCGTTAATTCACGATAGTCCTGTAACGAATTCAGTGAAGAAAATCACATACGAGGAACTCCACGAAAGTGTTCGTAGTGTGGAATTAAAAAAAAGTTTGCCAATACATTTATCGGTTTGGTTTGGTTTACAGGTTTCGCTATTGGCCGGTGCTCTAGCTGACTTAGGCGTGGTAAAAGGGGACCGTGTGCTAATCTACATGCCGCTCATACCTGAAGCAATCATTTCTATGTTAGCCACTGTCCGGCTTGGGGCTATTCACTCAGTAGTGTTTGGAGGTTTCATAAAAAACAAATTATATATTTTTTCATAATTTTTGAATTTTTTTAAGTATTGCGATTAATTATGAATATCATTTCATATAGGATTTGCTGCCCGAGAATTGTGCGCCCGAATTAATCACGCTGCTCCGAAAATTATATTAGCTGCAAACTGTGGAATCGAACCAAACAAAATAGTAAAGTAATTAAAACCACTTAACGTATTGTCCAAAAACCGAAATATTCAAACAGTTAAAACCATATTGTCCTATACACGTTGGGTCATAAATCTAGGTATAAAGACATACTTAATGCAGCTCTAGAACGAGCGACAGAAAAACCCAAACATTGCATTATATACCAAAGACCTAAAATGGAACCTTCTCCGCTGACTCCTGGCATTGACTTGCTCTGGTCGGAAGCTTTGGCCAAAGCCAAACCCCACCCATGTGTTCCCGTGGAAGCTAATCATCCATTATACATACTGTACACGTCTGGCACTACCGGTAAGAAACGGTTTAATAGAAAACCTACAACAGGAACATATTATTACAAACATATTTTTTTCTAATTTGATTTTTCAGTTGTATTTTTTATAAGTTAAACTAATAAATAATTAATACGAATTAATTATTGTCATTTAGCTGTGATTTTTATTGTTTTGTATGTAGTTAAGTAAACACGGTGACTACTAATGTATGACTGTCTATTAGGGATCAATTATTATTACTAAACAGACAATGGTTAATTAATTCTCACATTAAATATTCGTTCGTGTGTATACCGGCTATCAAACTAGTCTAACATTGTAGAACAACGAGTAGAACTATGTACTTTTATTATTTGATAGGCGATAGTATAATAATTAATTACAAACAATCGCAGTTCAATAATATGTTATTGAATTGTATGTAGAACAAAAAATTAAAACACATTTTCAATAAAAAATTGGTCTGTTGGCCGTTGGTATTTTGTAATATTTTACCCGAAGCTTGAAGGGAAAAAAATACAAGTATATAGCTTAAACAAATTTTTAATTATAGATATATATATTTTAGATAAGCCGAAAGGAATAGTTAGACCAACTGGCGGCCATATTGCTACTTTATGTTGGACTATGCACTGCATTTACGGTATGTCGGGTGACGATGTTTGGTGGACTGCTTCTGATATGGGTTGGGTAGTCGGCCATTCGTATATATGTTATGGACCTCTGTGCGCTGGATTGACTTCAGTAATGTATGAAGGCAAGCCGGATCGAACACCTGATCCGGGACAGTATTTCAGGTAAACAATCGAATCGAAACGATGCACAGTTATCACGGTGAACACGGTAATAAACGCTAATGGTTTTTTTTTTTTAGAGTTATTCAAGATCACAAAGTAAACGGATTATTAACGGCGCCAACCGCTTTAAGAGTAATCAAAAGAGAAGATCCAGAATTAGAGCATAGCAGTAAATACGACACTAAATCGTATGATATTATTATATTCGTTTCGCACAGTGTGTCGTTGAATGTGTTTTAATATATTTTATGTTTAGCCTGAGAACTTTGTTTGTCGCGGGTGAACACTGTGACCACGAAACATTGACGTGGTCAGGGAAAGCTTTGAATGTAAGAACCGAAAACGTAGTACCTACTTAAGTAATTTGTCAAAAAAACAATCGCATTAACCTTGTGTCTTGTTTTGCTAATCGAGGTTCCCGTACTGAACCATTGGTGGCAAACCGAAACTGGTCATTCTATTACAGCTACTTGCATTGGACTAGGCCATAATTTGAAGCCCCCCGTATTTTCAGCAGGCATGCCGTTTCCCGGCTATGACGGTACTAATGCTATATTTACACATTTTTTTTTTGTTATATGGATAACATAATTTATAACTATATTTTTTTAATAAAAAACCATAAGGTTTTTAATTTTTAATGCTTCGTTTATGCGTAAACGACGCAATCTCCGAATTGCCACTTCTACAAACTGGTTATAGAGTAAGTTATTTGATTATTATTATTTTTTTTTTTTTTAGTGAGAATCTTAAGAAAAGACGGTAGTCAATGTAAGTTTTTAGAGTTGGGCCGCATTGTTGTCAAGTTACCGTTGCCACCTGGAGTCATGTCATGTCTATACAGAGCACCGGAAAGATTTATCAACACATATTTCAACAACTACATTGTACGAAATTATTATAGTGCATGCCTATAGTCGGGAATTCCGAAATAATATACTATTGTATTTACACAACTTGCGGTTACTCCCTTTTGAGAAGTTCAACAGGTCTGTCAACGTTTCGGAATACTTGCACATTCCATCTTCAGAGCTGTGGTTCGATGTTGCTCGTACCTTGGCACAGGAAACCACAGCACGAGCAACACGAAACCACAGCCCTGAAGACACTGAACTCAATAATATATGTAACGCGTATTGCCAATAGTCGGCTGCTTAGGAAAATGTCCCCTGGTCGGAGGCTGCCATTTTGTGTACAGTTATTGTTTTGTCCATGTTTTTTCTATGATTTGCCAATTATAACATGACGGTGTTGTCGTCACCTAACCTAACATTTTAATACGTATCATGGAAAAGTGACGTTGCATTTTTACTTTCTATGAAATTGGTACACAATATGGCTGCCTCCCAAACATTTTTCAATCTGAACACGTACCTATTGCATGTATTAAGTTCAGTGCCTGAAGTGCAAGTATTCCGAAACGTCGGCAGACCAGTGAAACTACTCAAGTGGAAGTGACCGCAAGTTGTGTAAATGGTGAAAATACAATAATACCCCGCTCAAGTTTTAATGATTTTTCAATGTAATGCAATTAACTTGTTTTCCGTTGCGATAACGTTTGTATTCCAGGGATATTACGACACGATGGATGCAGGTTATGCCGATGCCAATGGTTACATATACGTTACGGCCAGGGACGACGATGTGATCAATGTCGCCGGACATAGGCTTTCCACGTCTGCTTTAGAGGATGTCATCCTATCCCATCCGGATGTGGGCGATGCTGCTGTGTTCGGCGTGCCAGAGACCACAAAGGGAGAGATACCGTTGTGTTTGTACATTAAGAATAAAAGTGAGTGTAGCATTGGAATGCGCCATTGTGTTGTTTGTTCGGTAGGAAATTACACATTTAACACTTACGTCGGGATTAGATTGCAGTAGAAAAGAAGAAGAAATTAACAATGAAATTGTGCAAAACGTCAGAGACCTGATCGGCCCTATCGCGTCGTTTCAATTATGCGCGCCCGTGCCAGGTTTGCCGAGGACTCGATCGGGCAAAACGGCCAGGAAATCTTTAGCCAATTTGGCCAGTGGCAAACTTGTAGTCGTAAGTGTTATTTTATTACCATAATACAGTGTTTCATACCGACGAGGTTCTAACGCGGCCAATGTTATGTGTTTTAAGATTTCAAGTACAATCGAAGATCCATCTGTGTATGTAGACATTAAGAAAGTTTTACAATCGATGGGCTACGCGAAAGATGCTCCCGATCCGGAATTGGCCAAATAACCGCGCGCCGACTTTTCATACAATCCCCAATTATACTATTTTATAATTATTATTATTTGATCGTTAAAAACAAGACAACAGTGTAGAACTATTTTAATTTCGCTTGTATTTACGCAAACGCCACCGCGAACCGGTAATAAAATAAAAATTAAACACACGCACACACACACTCAAATATGTATAATATAATATATAGGTACATAATATTAGTTTTAACAGCTAAATTATAAAAATAGCCTTTTTTTTTAGTTTTTATTGTATCAATTAATGAATTGAATATTTTAATGTATAATAGTAAAAGACGTGTAAACAAAGCCTAAATAAATTCTAACATATCAATAATTGAATAAGGTTTATAATAAATACAATTTGAAACGTTGCGTTGCCGACTTTGGCAAATTAATTATTTAATGTAATTATATTAGGGTAATTAATTGCATTAAAACCGTATACATGATAATTGTTTTACCTACTTTGTAATTTGTTGAAATAACATTTAAGCATTATTAAATAACAACATTCGCAATTGCTGGAAAACAGTTAAAACAGTTGAGAGTATAAAACCGGCTTACATAAAGGGCGGGGCAATGAGACGTGCGATTTTCCCATTTTCACATTGCTTTCACAGTCATTTAAAAATGTAAAAATAGTTATTATTCTAAACTATGTATTGAGCGTTATACTTGGAATAACGAAAAAAGCGTACCGTCTTGCCCTCCAGAATATTGTTTTCTTTTAATTTTATAATTGGTGCTTTTACGCTAAAACCAAAATTAAGCGAGTTATTTTCAGTCTGCTTAAACATGTAGAGATGAAAAAACATTTTTAAATCGCTTTTGAGGATGCTGTGATAGTCCGAAAAATAAATTAACTACCAAAATAGAGTCCTAGTTATTGAACTAATAATTACACATCACAGTTTAACCTTTAAATTAAGATTTTGTGAAAAATTGCCTATACTTTACTCCTAAAAAATAGGCGGTGCGACGCCCTCTTACTGGCAAGTACTTACAAAATACAACTTGTAAAATCTCTATTATATTAAGTAGCGTTAAGACTCGTTACTGGAAGTTATTACATATTATTATTATTTTAATACTTTCGTTAAAATTGATTATTATACCTAAATGTAAGGAAAATTATCCGTCATAATATTATTTTATAACAGAATTGTTAACAAACCGTACAAGAGTAGTGTTTGTTCCGGCAAACGGCATTGTATGGAAACAAACTTCGATAATTACCTACGCCGGAAACGTATTGATTGTGTATTTCGAGTTACTGTAATAGTTTTGGAGCAATTTAAATTCACGGTTCTCTCTAGGCAAAATTTGCAGAGGGCTGATTGAAATATGATAAACAAAGCTTTTCCCAGTGTTGTGTGTACAAATACCAAATACAAGGATAAGCTATAGGCCTATAATAATAGGCATAATACTTTAAAACGATTTCAAAATTTTACAATATACTTGCAAAATACTTATTTCACACAAAACTACCTATTTGTAATTATTTTTAATTCCATTCTGAATAAAAGGAATATTTTGCGAGCGAAAATGTCGCGTAAACCGTAAATCTAAAATAGTTTCTAAGAATAATTTTAGTAATTACTTGCCCCGTTTCATGATTTTTTTTTTTTCTTCACTTTGATCAAAAAGTTAATTTAAAAGTAACCCGACAAAGTAAAAAACGTAGTTTTTTGATGTACCGTTAAAGATGAAATCTTTTTGAAGTATATAGTCTTACATAGAGGTCATCTACCTCAATTATTTTACTAGTGGCGGGAATTCGATCTTTTTTTTTTACAAAACAAACGTTATCACGATTTACTCGAATAGATAACTAAAAACAGTGTCATTAGTTATCAAAAAAGTATGACGTCAATAGGTAATACCATTATCAGTAAGTAATAATTATATATCATTAATTCTTATTATTAGTAAGGTAAGTATAAAGGCAGGATCAATTATTAAGTATTAATAAATAATGGTATTGTTAAACATTTAAAATATGTATTAAACATTAATCAATATTTATAAAAAGTGTAAATTTGAAACTATAAAATTTTGTGCATATTGATCGTATCATTTCGAATAAATAAAAAAATTAAAATAGAGAAATAAAACATTTTTCTACGGTTTGTAATTCGTTCGTTATCGCCAGAAACTGACATTATGCCAAACTCGATGGAAGGGAAGGGATGAATAATTATGTATCCACTTTTAGTCATAACACTACTTTTCTTGTACAATTTCTGACTGTGTATGAACTGTGACTGTGTTTATAGACTGTGTATGAAATGAAGACATAAATCTTTTTTTTTTCAAAGGCATTATTAAAAAAACCAATACGCGTTGAAACTAATAATGTCCAAAGTATTTATTTGTATGAATGTAATAAAATATATATTTTATATGTATTGTTTTTTTTTTTTTTAATTAAATATACACTTAACAATCTGCCTTAACTAGATTTTACGTTATTATCTTTTATTATCATACTTTAAAAACTTATTGATAATGCTAAAGATTTGTTAAACAGTATGCCAAAAAAAATTTGTATTTATTATTTATCTTAAAACATAAAATAGAGCGAATCCAATACTGTCAAATCAAAAGTAAAGGTTAGACTTGTGAAATGTTTACAAAAATGTTCATACAAATAAAATGTTTACCTACTTCGAATAAAGTGTAGGCAAATCGTTTCCATAAATATCGCCAAAATAAAAGAGATTTAAATTGTAAAAGTCTGATGTATTCATGTAAAAATCAGTGAACTGTATCATTCAGAAACATTACTCTACGTCATTTTAAATTCATCATATTTGCCCTAGATTATTGAAAATATTTCATAATACATATTGTTGAAGAGCATAGTAAATATTTATTTTGCGTGGAACAAATTGTATCAATCGTTATGTTCAAAGGAGACGACGCGGGTGAGTAACTAATACCGATGGCATTTAAATAGATTTAATACATTTATGACATTGAATTTAAGAAAAATTGAGACAAATAAAAATTAAAGCTTAAATTCTAATCAATGTAATAGTACAAAAAAAACTTATTATTTTAGTACACAGAATTCAGTAAGAAAGGTAATTTTGAAATGTCCAATACATTGAGTTGCCAAGTTAGGTCAAAATATGAGAAAATCGTTCTCAAGTAAGCTTTATGTTGAATTCATTTTTTATTTTGTTTGTTTTTCAAATAACTAAGTATCCCATCCTTAATTTGAACGGTATGGTTTAATAAATATTATTACGTTTCTCAGTTATATATATTAAGGGCCAATAATTAAATCATTGTTTCCATTCTCCTTAAGTTTAACAAACATAATTATAAGTTGTTAGTTTTTATTTATTTTCTAAACTTTTATACATTAAATGTCGAGGAAATTTGATCATTTTAGCAACATATAGGCAATAGACTAGACATAAATAGTAAACTGACATTTTTTTAAACTTTATAAACAATAAAAAAAAAATTCTGCACCTCATCTTTACTTTTTTATATAAACTTTATTCATAAATATGCAATTCTATTTTGTAGATCAAGTTTAATAATTATAATGATATATATTTATATTATAGTATATTTAATAAATTATATTAATATAATAATAATTATCAAACAAGTATTTTATCAATTGTTAACGAAAATAACGCTAAAGATAAAAATATTTACTTTTAGCAGCTAGATACAAAAAAATGTCTGAATATAGATGTATTTAAGACAGTATAATGTCTTAACAATTGTTTTAATATTATTTTATTCGCCATATTTAAAATTGCATGCAGCTTGGCTTATTACTTTTGTTTTAATAGTACAAATGTATAATTGTAATCGCACAATTAGTATTAAAAATGTATATACAGAATAAGATCAAATAATTAAATTGGTTATTACTTTTAATAAAGTGTTTTATTTATTCAAAGTAATTGAATTTAGTTTAAAATATTACAAAGGTAATACCTACACTTCAACTACATAAATCGAAAAAGTTGTGAAGAGTTTTGTGAAAAAATTAATATAGAATCTTATGGCAAAAAAACTTTTAGGCTCATTTTCTAAAATTAGTATCTTTCAACCACGCACCACCGTTTAATTGTATTTTCTGAAATTTTTTTCCTTATAATTTATCTAATCGCATCCCATTTTTTTATTACAAAAATTAAAATCTGTAATACATATTAGGTACCCATATTTTGACCTCTCAAAAATTAATTCATCAATGTAATTAACTCAATTTTGTTTTTACCATCGTAAAAAAACCGTATACAATTATTTCAAATACTAAATATAGTTTTAAAATTGAAGACCTTGGGGCAACAACAAGAAATGTCCTTTTTTCAAAACGTTGTAAATTCCAAAAAAAAAATTCTTTAAAATGTTCTAAAAAAATTTTTTTTGGAATTTAAAACATTCTGAAAAAAATGTTTTATAATTTGTTGAAAAAACTTTCTTTGGATTTAAAAACATTCTGAAAAAAAGGACATGTCTTGTTGTTCCCCCAAGGTCTTCAATTATATTGCGTCTCTTTGTTTTTTGGATAAATATACTTACCATCTGTGTACACGTCATTTGTACACAAAATTCACGGTGAGTATGGCATGTATATTTGATTAAATGTTTATTCGGCATTTATTATACTCACTAATGCGTGCAGGGTTATATATATACAACTTACAAGTATAATATATGAAATAACATATTATAACATCATAACGTCATAACAACATGACATCATAACATCTTGAACACAGCGCTATATAAATTATAAAATATACCTGCTGTCTGAAACTACATATTTGGGGGGAAGCGTAAAAATGTTATTATTTTAATAGTACGAAAAGAAAAGACCAAGTTTAATATCCAAGTTTTTTCCCTGCTCCATAAATACCATTAATAGTTTACACACTTACCACTTTTAAAAATTACTTTTTTTTTATTGTTCAAAATTTCACCGTCTTACAACATATGTGTCCCACCTATCCGGATTATGGAAACCATTCCATTGCTGTGTAACTAATATGGACATTATTTATATTAACTGTATCATTTATTATATGTAACCAGCCGCTATGTCTCCAATTACTTCCGACTAAACTAACGCTAAATACCGTGAAATATATCAATGTTGTGTGAATTTATGATTATTAAGACCTATACCATCATCATCAAACGTTTCTTATCTTTAGTAGTTTTTCGCATAATGCGTACTGCGATACATATAATAATAATAATATATAATACTACTATAATAATATATTATGATAAAATATTTCTAAAGAACTAAACTTATACGCCATATGCCATATTAATAATATGACAAATAGACAAATAAATAAATAATTGATAATTATATGAGCATCACATACAATAGCTTACCGTAGGTAA